AATCTCAAAAACATGAAACATCCAAAGGGAATTCCTTGAGTGTTTTCATATGTGTTGCTTTTGTGTTACCCATCTCTATGATATAATAACCTTGTGTTGGTCTCATATTCTAGGGTGTCATGTCACCCATGACCCTTCAGAGACAATGCAGCATCACTCCCTGCATCACTGACAGAGACCCCCTGCCCGACTCCTCCAGTGATAAAGACCCCGGGTCACCCAGGGTTAGTGAAGGCACCCCTCCTTTATCTCAAGTGACTGAACGGGGAGGCTCCTTCAGAGAGAGAGGCCAGAACCCAGGTCTGCTATCAAGTGATCTGTAGTTACTTGACAGATGTAGTAACTCCCAAGTGAAAGCTGTATAGTATGTTAGCTGAGAGACTTCAATGCACAGTAATTAAAAAAGCAAATGAGTCTTAACCACATAGGTTGCATTTAGAATTTTTTTTAAATGCATATAAATAGCAAATGGAGAAAAACATTCACCAGACAGAAGTGTATTTATAATTACTAGTAAAAGTCTGCTGTCTAAAAAGCATCAGTTTTTTGTGTTGTTATAGAAATTTAACTTTTATTTTATCTATGACTTGCAGCATTTTTGTGTTTTGAATGTGTTTCTCAATTACAAAAGCTTGGATTTTATTTACTTTACTTATTTACTTCTAAATGTGGTGAATGAATTGTCAATGCAACCATTTCCCCCCTTCATTTGTTTGTGTTTTCTGAAGTAAAGGAATGGTGTAGTGAGTTTTCTTGGGTGTGGGGACTGATGAGCGCAAAGTCTAAAAGACAAACTCACATACACACAGCTGGATATACAGCTAGCAATATCAGGTCATTGATGCAATACACAGTCATATTTGTTTACACCTAATGAATTTAAGTGCCTGCCTTTTAGTTATGTTTAGCAGACCAACTCCTTTGATAAATATCTGAAAGAATACCCTTTTTAGTTTAATTCGCTATTGTTTTGTGCTCAGCAGACAGTGTACACTACTGGCTGGAAAGCCCAAACAATGAACAAAAAGAGGCAGAAGAACTGCGGAGATGGATGTTAATAACAATTTGATTAGAAAGTTGGACTTAACATTTTAAAATATTGATTAGTGGAGCTTTAAACAAATGAATACAGATGCTATAGGGAAGTAGCTCATTAGTTGTTGATGAGCTACCAAATACACAAGGCAGATGATGGTGTTTAACACTGTCTAGTCTCATGAAGTGATAATTGCTGCTACTTGATGCCACACACATTCAGGAATCCTGGAAGACTTTAGGATCAAGTAACAGCTCTGATTAAAGGCAGGGGAGTTACTGACTGCATCAATGTCTGGATAAAGAGCAAAAATGTTAAAATGTTAAAAACCCAAACAACAAATTTAGCTGATAATCTGACAACTTTGCAGCTTTTCCTGATTATATATTGTTGCATATTGTTGAAATTTTTTTCAAATTACTTCTACAGCCAGTGGACCACGGAGGCCTCTGCGTAGTGTTTCTGTGGCCCCCCCTCATCGTATGTCAGATTGTCTTCGCCATGGCAACAGCAGCGATGCCCGGGCGGTGAGGGCAGTGTGCCTGCTGATGGGAGGGGCAGCGGCCTCCTCTGCTATGGGCTACCTCAGCTCCTGCTCCCCTTCCTCGCCCCTTGCTAGTAGAGCCCCAGAGCTCGCCCATGGCGCAGGGGGCTTCTCCGAGCTTCCTGCAGGAGGCTCCTTCCACGCTTGCAGCCAAGACGTTGACTCGCCACACTTCAACAGCTTCGACTTTGAAGGAGACTCCGACTTTGATGCATTTGACTGTGGAGGATTTGCTTTTTAGCTTTGACTAGAGAGGGAGAGAAACTGTTTGAAAGACCCTTTATTCCCCTAAAAAAAACCCTCTGTTGGTATTCCTTCATAATATAAGGACATTGTTATTAATTAATTACTTGTTGGGTTATCTATACGTCTAATATATAAATTAATGAAGGTGTTCTTCCTGGCTTTATGCCCGTGCTCCTCAGGTAAATCATTCATGATCTTGACTCCTCTGAGCACTGTCTGTCTGTGTTGTATCAGTCTTTCCATGCCACAGGATGACTTGAGGGTGAGCAGTATAATGATGCCAGATAGCCATGTGGAGGTTTATGAGGAAATTTTAGTCCCAGAACTTTAACAGTTGTGGTTCTTCACTGTATGTTCATTTTATACGTTTTTTTAAATTTCACCTCTGTGCATCTACATTCTCTGCATTTCACTGACACTTTGCTCGATTTCCTTTTGTCATACTTTCTGAAATCCCCCCACCATCTGCACATACCATTATCTTAGTCCAAAGGTGAACTCTAAATAAATCCTGCTGTCACCATGACTGTGTGTCTTTCTCTCTAGTTCCATCTGCCTATTGGCTTGTGTGTCAATACAGACAGCAGGCCACAGTTTGAAGAGGAGGGATGATGCAGCAGATTTGCACGAGAGATATATGCAGAGCCCGAATGGCCGTGTGTGTTTATCTGAGATTTTGTCGCACAGCAAAAAAGTAATCTCTTGGGTTTACATCTCATGTGCTGGATGTAGACTTGTGTATGTGTGTGCTCTCATTTTTTATACCAGATTAGGCTATATTTGCTGATATCAACATCCATGATGCCATATTGAAGAGACATTATTATTTTCACACATGAAAATGAATCATTGACATTGACCTGGAGAATATTTCCCTTACAAATATGAATGAAATATAAATAAAGTAATTAATATGATAATAATTTCAGATTTCTTTTTTTACTACAAACATCACTGTGTTTATCATATCATGAATGTTATGCAATGCCTCAAAGCGTTGCCGCTCAATATTGGCATGATTGCCAACCAGGCTAAACAGCCAACTACTGTTGTGCCCCGCCTCTGACAACCTCAAGTTGTGCAGGTTTGTAATTCAGATTCATAAACCGGAATGTGTTTGAGAATAACCTATGCACTAATAAAGCACAGCCTCAGCTAAAATGGCTGGTTTTGCCCAATCTTTAAAGTCTATTTAAACTTAAACTTCTAGTTTCAGAGCTTTTTTTAAGTTGATATTATCATTTTATATTGAGGAAGAAAATTCACATTCTCCAGACTTGCTAACCAAAGGACATGTGGCA